GGCTGGATACTGACCTGCTGCAGAGCAGAGGTTCCCTGCTCCTGTAGAACCAAACAATAAGAAAACCAGGGATGTGACAAGGGAAGGAGTAAGCACAGCAATTCAGTTCCTCATCTCCCGCCCCACAGAGTATAAATGTTTCGATGCTCGATGGAACAGCCTCACAGAGGAGCAGAAAGAAAAATACGCAGCTGAATCACCCGTATTCCTCTCCTGCTGACTCCATGCCTTCTCCTTACAGGGCTGAGCCCAACCTGAGGAGACATGGCACAAACTGCTCCATTTTGGGCTTTGTGATCTGCTATTAATGAAGAATATTTTCAGGACATTTGTATTAGAGGAGTAGGATTACACCCTACTAATGTTAATTACACCATTGGCTATCAGAGTTAAAAAACCAAACCCAAACAAACCTAACTTTGTTTCCCAGATGGGACCATGAGATCAGCGTTTTGTCAGCAGTGGTGGACCCCAGGCTGAAGTGAGACTCAGGTTAGGCAGTGCCCACACACCATCGGCACGCCATCGGCTCTCGTGGCTGCAGCCGCACGAGTATCAAAGGGGTAGTGACATCTTGTGACCAGGATCCATCTCTTTTCGTACTGTTATTACCCCAGACTAAAGTTTTTTCGTACTGTTATTACCCCAGACTAAAGTTGATCACTTGCATATTTGATGGGGGAGAACTCCTCAAGTCTTCTCTTTCTTTTTGATACTGCAGTCAAAGTGTAATACGGATTTTGTTACATTCAACATCTGGTCCAAAAATGTGCATTTCCACTAAGGAAAACACAAACCAGAAAAGGCAAGCCAAAACAAACACACACAAAATGTTACTATTGTTTTTACATATTTTATCCAGATAGGATTTTCAATATGTACAGAAACTGTATCTGATGTTATGCAGTTGGGTCTAGATATGGAACTTGAAAAAACGAATTTATTTTCTTGTGTATCATTTTGTTTTATTCCAGTCTTCACAAGTCTTCTCCTATTTAACTGGCAGTGGACAACCCTCAAATTGCATTTTCTGTGTATGATTTATATAGGTATAAAAATATGTGGGATAAGAAAGCTTTAACATTATATTTCACAATTCATTTAGCAAAGTAGCAGTAGTTAGAAAATTTTACTTGGCAAGATCATACTGGGGTGGGAGTGGGCCTGTATGTGGAAAAGGGATCTAAGGAATGTTCCTACGATTAGTCTGAGGCAGCACAGTCCAACGATGGGAATTTGCTCTGGGAGGTAGAGCTTGCTGTAAAGCATTCAAGATTAGATACGATGCACTGACATATGACAAATGAAACTGCTGAGAGAGTGGGTCGTACGAGCTAATGATTTTCAATCTTTAATCAGGCACCTACCTTGGCATAGTGTATTAGATTTGAGTAAATAAGTACCTTTAAGGCTCAGGGTCAAAGCTTTGATGGGAATTTTGCTGAGGAAAACTGGGCTGGAGGCACATTTAGGAAGAAAAACATTAGTCGCTCTTCATTCACAGCATTGAGCAAACAGGGTCAAATCCTGCCACCTTTGCCAGGTCCAGTGGCACCTTGCTGGCAAGTTGGAAGCTGCTTGAGATACCACACAGCCAGACATACCTCTGGGAAAGCCGGAGCGTGCTGGCTTGTCAGCAAAGAGGAATGCTCTGCAGCATCTGGGTGGAAAGAGGGGAAAAAAATGTTGCTTAGAATCTGCTTAGTTTGGGCCTTGTATTCCCTGACCTCCAAGTTTTTGGGCACAATTTTATACCCACAGCTGACTGTGGGCACACAAATTATAGCATTCAGGAATTTAACTACCTGATGATTGGGCCTGCGCTCAGTGTTGTAACCCCAAGCATTCCACATTCATGAGAGAAGCCTCTGAAAAAAATAAAAAAAACCTGCGAGATTGGCTTCAGGATCATGAATTAATACTTTTTGAAACTTCTGCTTTTTTGAGCCTGCGTGGCTTGCATTTGCAAGTTCTTCCACCATCATAAACAGTGGGAACCTTTGAAAAAATAGAGCAGCGAAATCAGATTTCTGTGCAGCAAAATGACTCGCGAAACTGGACCTTCAGAAAACAACAAGAAGAAGAAATCAAGACTTACGATAAAGTTGCTGGAGGTTGCACCGCAAAGAGTGCCAGGCTGTACATAAATGGCAGCATCTCAATCAAATACACACAGAGGCAAACACATATACACACACACATCCATATATAAATACACACCTACAAAGATATCACCTAGGGCACCAGAACGGATGCTATCTTTGTCTTTCAGGAACACTTTCTGCTGTATGAGGGAAGCACATCCCTGACAGAGACGGAGGCTCCTTGGAACACTGTCCAGAGCGTTGAGCCCACACAAGAATAAGGAGCCTCACAAGTTTCACTTCCTCCCACTCTCTGAGCAAGTTACTGACTTGGCCTTTTCAACCAAAAAACCAGATCTCAGAAACACATGTAGAACATGATGAAACGTGTACTCTTCACCAAGATTTACCACTTAGGGAGAAGAGGAGCGTGAATCAGGCGTGGCACATCCGTCCCCTTGGTAGTGCTATCCTGGAAGTCCTTAGATCTTAGCGCTCTTTGGTGAAGGTGTAGAGAAGGTTGCCTCCATCCACCTGTTGTCGTGGATTTTGCTGCAGTTCTTGTGGCTGCAACTGCGTGTTGACCAGTGGTTGAGAAAGCTGTAGAAACAGGCCAGTTTCAAAAAAACATATTTCAGCAATATCAAGCAAAACTTACAAGCACTTTTATACATATTTACATGCACATCTAAATACCAACAGATTATTTTAACCCAAATTTGTGGAACAGGATTGGAATCTTGTTTGGAGGTCTTTGAAAAACCACGTCTTTCTGCACAGGCACAAAGTAGAGACAGAGGAGACCCTGGAGACCCTGAAAGACCCTGGAGTATTTCTTAAGGCATTCCTCGACTCACTGCCACTGAAACGCTGCTGCTGCAGCAGAAGGTGGCAAGTTTCCGCTTTTTTCTGTAGGGAAGAAAGGAAGGTGATAGAGTTTGCCAGTGGCCTTTCCAGTGTCCACAAAATCAGCTCACCACAGCCCTGCTGATTTTCTTTTTTAGAGTAGTTGCAGCTATAGGAACTTTTTCCCTAATGCAGTAAACCTTCCTGGAAATCGCCTTTTGTGCCTCTGATAGGCTAACTTGACCTTGAGCTGTGGTTCCAGGAGGTCTAAAGTATTTTTTAAAAGGATGGTCAGCTATCTTGTACTTGCTACTGTATGCTGGCAAGGGACAATCAAACCCAAATATTCTCTTTAATATTGAAACCCCAGAAATTTGGGAAAAAACAAAACATACAATTTAAGTGAAACTCGAACAACTCAGGAGGGTGCCCTCTATTTGCAGGAATAACCAGATCCGTACAGCTTTTATTTTAAGGCTGGTTTCTTAAGCAGTAAGCATTTTTTACTTCCCTTCTACTTCATTATGCCATTGTACTCAGATTTCGGCCCTTTTATCCTTTGCCCATTTCAGTCATGTTCTGGGATCTGCAATGAAACCACTACAGGAGATGGTCTGCAGCATCAGTAATGCTTTAAGACAAGCTCAGTAGCTCATATTTCTTTGTTAGCATCCCATTGCGAAGGGGAAAGATCAGTTTGCTTTGTTCTTAGGCCTTGATTTTCATAAGCTAATGATGACTGTGGGTGTAATTGTGGTCAGGCTTAAGTGGTAGCACAAGGGCAGGAAAACAGAGAGGCGCTTCCAAGGCTGGTTTCCCCTCCATTGCGCACGCGGAGCAGGAGGGCATCTGCTTGCCTTCCCCCCCGGGCATACACCCATGCCTGGGGAATTTTGCCTTTAACAGTTGAAAGTTAATATTACCAATAGTTTTAAATATGCTGAATATGAACTGAGAAGTTAATAAGAATAGGGTACCTGAGCTCTAGGTTGTCCAACCTGTGAGCTGTGGTGGCTTCACGAGCGTAAGAAACCTAAATTTTGGGTTGTTATTCTAAGGTTGGCAATGACATACTCCACAGTAAATACAAGAACGTTACGGAAGAAGATGACTTCTTACACCAGCACTCAATTCTAATTCACACCCCTTTTCCCTATGAGAGATTTTAAAAAAATCCTCAGATATTTTACTGTGCCAGCCGTGGTGCAGCTTGGCTACAGCGGAGGTCGGAGGTCGGGAGTGGAGCGTGAGCCCAAGCACCCACCAGTTTGGGTCCCTTCTAGGGACCACCTGATGCTGGATTAACCTCCTCTAGCAATAGCCATAATAAATCCTCCCATTTCACTCTGGCTCACAGCTGAGCAGGACCCTTCAGTGGATTTTATTTCCTCTAACGTTGCTCAATCATTGCCCTGATGCAAAAAATTAATTTGTGGCCCAACATTTGCTTGATAGTTGGGCTATATACTGCAAGGATTGCTGCTTTTAAAGGGGGCGATATGCTCTGTGGGTTGTATAGTTAATAGGTATGCCAGTATAGGCAAAATTTTTAATTATGCAGTGAACATGAATGCCTATTCAGCCAGACAGTATATATTGTTCTGCGATATTCAAGCTGGTCAAAATTTTTTAAATATTCCTTGAGCATTACTTACAGCAATTAAGATGAAATATTCTGAATCTTACAACACTTAAAAAAAAGATTAGTTTTTTTCTGTTTTCAAAATGAAAATGGTTTGAAAAATTTTTTTAAGTCACTGGAGTCCCATGAATTACTTTGGCTCTAAAGACATGTCTTCTGAAATGTAAGTAAATATCCTCCAATGTTTGGAAACAGAATGCAAATGTTTTCTAATAAAATGACAAAACACTGCATTTCTGACCAGGCACCTTGTAAAATAAAATGTGTTATGAGCATTCTGCTGGGAGGTGAGAAGATTTATGAGCATGCATTTGAAAAATTTCAGCCAGCAGTAATGAATATTCATATGAAATAAACAGACTGAGATTTAGGCAAGCTTGCAATACCGTTTTCCTGCAGTAACAATATGCAAATATCTGTACACATAGGTTCTCGAAGAGAGAATGAAATTGGAGTGCAAGTGTCATGGAGTTTCAGGTTCCTGTACAACTAAGACCTGCTGGACCACGCTTCCTAAATTCAGAGAGATTGGATATATTTTGAAAGAGAAATACAACGCTGCAGTGCAAGTGGAGGTGGTACGAGCCAGTAGACTAAGACAGCCGACCTTCCTGAAGATCAAGCAGATTAAAAGTTACCAGAAACCCATGGAAACAGATTTAGTGTATATCGAAAAGTCACCCAACTACTGTGAGGAAGATGCTTCCACGGGGAGTGTCGGTACCCAGGGACGACTGTGCAACCGTACCTCTCCCAATGCGGATGGGTGTGACATGATGTGCTGTGGAAGAGGGTACAACACACACCAGTACACCAAGGTGTGGCAATGCAATTGCAAATTCCACTGGTGCTGCTTTGTGAAGTGCAACACGTGTAGCGAGCGGACAGAGGTGTTCACCTGCAAATAATGGCATCATGTGCAAATGAACAGAACAAATCACCACGAGTGAAGAAAGTGGAGTACAACAAACGACGACAGCATCATTTTGCACATCTAATCTTCTTTGGGAAAAAAAACACAAAACCAACAACCAACCAACACCACAACAACCGCTCCCTCCCCACTACTTACACTTCTAAGGATGGTGCATTTTGGCTGGCTGGCTGTTGTAACTGCTTTGGAAACAAGGGCAACAGGATTAAGGTGATGTTGACAACCACACGAAACTTTGTCTCTCTTTTATGTCTTTTTTTTTTTTTTTTTTTTTTTTTAAATCTACAATCTGGGTGTTGTAGAGTTCTCCTAGTAAGTGTTTTAAGTTATACATATCAGAGAACCTGATTGCATTGCAACTCCCATGAAATCTAAAAGAAAAAGACACTTTTTCCTATTTTACAACAACAAAACCACCGAGCCCTGTGCAAATAAAGACTTTTTTTTTAAAGGAAACGAAATCTTCACTGACTAGAACACAGCAGTCTTGCTGCAAAAACCTTAACTTCTAAGAAAGTACGTAGAGAGAAAACAACTGGTAGGGAGACAAAATCTATGACGGAAATACTCCACTATCAGTTTGGAAAAAAATAACATTCACAAAATTACATCAGCTGCCAGTGACACTGGAACTCTTTGAATGAACATTAAAAATGATTATTTATGTTTTTAATAGTATCAAAAATTTCTAAGCACTAACGGGTAGCTATGTCTTAATTCTGTACTAAATGTAAACTTATTGGAACTCTGACTTTATGATTTTTGTATTTGGTTCTCCCTAAGTTCTTCAATGCTACTGATCTGTTGTCACTCCACTATTAGAGAGTTCAATTACTGTAGGCCTTAAGCAATTACCAGAACTGAGCAAAAAGATCACGTGAAACTGTGGCTGCAAATGCTTGATAAAGACATTTCCCGCTTGCCTCCTGAACAAGAATGACTCTTTTTAGACTCAGGCTTGAGGCGTGGAGCACCTGCTCTCAGCTCCTTCTAGGGCGTTTTAGGATACAAAGACATGCTTCGACAAATTTCAAAGGTTTTGCTTTGCCGTCAAATGCACTGGTAGGATCTTCCAAGCATTGCATTTTGCCTTTAACAGTTGAAAGTTAAATAGTACCGATAGTTTTAAATAACTTATGCTGAGTATGAACTGAGAAGTTACTAAGAATAGAGTAGCTGAGCTCTAGGTTGTCCAACCCGTGAGCTGTGGTGGCTTCACAAGCGTAAGGAAGCTAAAATTTGGGTTAGTCTGTGTTGTCGTTATTCTAAGGTTGGCAATAACTTGGTAAATACATGAATGTTAAGAAAGAAGCTGACTTTTTACACCAGCACTCAATTCTAATTCACACCCCTTTTCCCTATGAGAGATTTTAAAAAAATCCTCAGATATTTTACTACTGTAAAATCTAGTGTTTTTAACCCCAAGAGCCAGATATGCCCACTTATAACACAGCACAGTTAATCACACAAATGGTTGCTTGTAGCAAAGGTCCCTACCTGATTTTCTGAAAACTTGGATTAAAAATTTCCTAACTTCTGCATATCTGCATTTCTAGCTTTTGTTTCATCTTGCTACTTTTATTGAGGGGCTGCAGAGCCATGAGCCCTCCCCACCTGACATGGAAGCACTTGCCACAGCACACGGCGCTCTTGGGGCAAGGGGCTGGTGGAAATACCGCTCCGCCAGCTCCCATGCTGCATATGTGAACGAGCCAGGATTACCTCTGTAATTTACAGGCCTGTATTAGCAAAAGTAACTAATCACTTGGGGACCTTCGTTCAAACACTCATGAGGACCTGTCTTTCTGACCCCAAGCACTTACCCTCAGAAAATCAGACCCCTTTGATCAGTCTCCCACGGAGCAATCCACAACTGAAGAGCTCATTTTTTTCGTTGTTGCTGTTGGTTTCTAAATACCAGCCTTGGCGTGAACGAGTGCAACTCCACAGAAGTCAACAGGGGCCCCCAAAAACACTAGAGTCACTCCACAGAATTTAAAGTCCCTTTGATTCATGGGTATTGTTGTTGAATAATAGTGATATACTGTACTTTCACTGCATTCTTGACAGGAAGCAAATAAAGCTCCCAAACACAGTAATGCACAGTCTTATGGTACTAGGTACTGTAAATATATTAGAATAGTTTTTGTTAAGTACAATTGAGGAATCCAATTAAGTTATATTATTGTATATCGTTTAAATGTCTATAGAATATTTTAAATTATTGTGAACTACACTGCGTTAAAAAAGAAAAAAAAGGTTATATATTATAACACCAACCACTCTGAAAAGTGGACCAAAGTGACACTTTCTCTTTTATAACCCCATTTCATATAGCTCTGTCAGCTATTGTAACACCACCGTCACACTCCTACGATTGGATTAGCTGTCTAGAATATAACGTTTCAGAACATCCTATAAAAGTTTTGCTGGTGTGGGGGTGCAGCGTTCAGAGAGGTAGTGTATGGCACAAAGCAGGGGCTGACCACGGGAATCCATGGACTTTGAACTGTGTCCAAAGAAAAAACAGTTTTGGTCAGAAAACACCGTTACCACTAATGTACTGAAACTCCCCCCCAAAATGGTGACCTTTTAACAAATGTATCTATGAACAGAAGTGGGTTACACACAACTTTAACTTTAAAAAAAAAGTAGTTGGATGTCAAAGAACTGTGACAATAGAGGTTTGAATGCACCCAGCAACACAACGTGGTTTAACCATACCTTAGCCGTGACAAAACTCAAAATACCATATGTTATTAAAGAATTTAAGAGCAAAGATCAACTTGTTTACTATGTTAATGTTTTATGGCAAGCAGAAAACAAAAGATGAAATGTGTTTCCATTAAAATTTAATTTTTTCCCTTTCTAGTACCCTTTCTTTTTGTTTGTTATTCATTAGAAAAAAAGAAAGAAGGCAACAAGGCCATTTGCGCACAAGCTTCTCTGGACGAGAAATGATAGGTCGTTTTTGTATTTTGTGAGAAACAGTAATGAACGTGCTTGTGTTTGGTGTCACAGGCCAAAGCCATCTACCTACTCCAGTGGTATGGAGGAACTGGCACAAGCACCAACGTTGCTGCTACCAGAGACTTTGGTTGGCTCAAATGAGCAGGAGATAAATGTTTTGTGATAGAAATGTGGCCTCCGACTCCAAAATGGTTCTTTGCCATGAACCTCACGTAACAGATTAGCGAACAGAGAGGAATAAGAGGCGTAGAGGAGAGGCTTGAAGACCCAGACTTCAGCACTTGCACGTGTTCCAGCTTATGCCAGCGAGTTATGGACACATCTGAAAACCCTACCTGAATCGGGACCTAAAAGATTCTACAGCATTTACCTTGGTCAAAATAGTAGCAACCTCCTTGATACTGAGAATAGTGTCTTCCTATACGAAAGCTAAAGAAAAATGTACAACCTTTGTTGTATTTGCCCCTCAGGGAAGATATCCAGCTATAGATAAAGGTATAGCCAAATTCCACATGAACTAAGTCCAAAATAACTTAATTAAAATGAACTGAGTTGCCCTGAGTTTATCGCAGCATAAGTATGCACAGCATGTGACCCATGGATGCCAAAGAAAACACTGCACCTTCTTTCTAATTACATCATGAGAAACTTGTGAATAGAGCTGCAGGAAGTTTTTATAGCAAATGGGAATATTACGTTCGCTTCTACGATGACATCTGGAAAGTAGATGAAACTCATCAAAAGGTTTGCAAATCTTTTAATAAATCTAAAGCATGCTGTGAGTAGGTCACTTAAAGTTTCAAACATATTTCCACAGATTGATTTCTTAGTGTAAGGTGAAAACCCCAAAGCGTTACTGAACGTAACAAATGAAGACCTTCCCTTATACCAGCTTTCCCATGCGAATGGCTCAATATGCCTTTCACTGTTGAAGGCAGAATTGGCGTTCAACAGGAAACGCTTTCTATAAAGCTAGAGATAATTTGCATTCATAGCGATTTTCATAACTGGACACAATGACTGCACGTTTCCTTTCCAATCCTTCAGACCTTTTGTTGCAATGACAGTTCCCATAGCGGAGGCGGTACAGTAAGTGGTACAGTAAAGACCCAACATTCTTCTCTCCGAGTGACAGCCACAACGAGATGTGGGATATATACAACTAAAGCTATGTCTAAGGGAAAAAAACATCAAAGTTGGAAAGGCAGGGGAAGTTGTAAGCAATTTCAGTTTGTGATACTGATATGGTAAGAAACCTCCTGCACGCAAAACAAACCGCATTGTAGGCTGAGCCTCACCCACAAACTCTTTTCCCCCTTGAATCCAAAGTCCTTGTCTGCCTGTCTGCACATTCAGACTGTTTCACTGGAGAACAAGCACGCTCAAAGGCTGGCAAGTATTTTCCTTTTGGTGTTTTAGCTGCTATTAGGAAATTGTAGGGGATCATTTTCTGCCAGGGGACATGTAGTTGCAAATTTAAAATTTGCATCTCATTTTTTAAAAATGGAGATCTAGTTTTTTTTTTTTCCCTGCACATTCCTGCAGTATAGATATATGTGCTTTAAAAGATTTGTTTGGTGAAGAATAAAGATTGCAGTTTTCACATAATATGTGGTTGTTGTTTGTAATGTGTTCCACAGAGCACTGAGGCAGAGGGAATAATACTGCTGTAAATTCAAAATCTTTAGTCATGCTGTTTTTACTGAAAGCAATACACTAAATATTACCTGTTTCAAGACTCTAGTGCGATTCTATTTTATAGGATGGTGCTTTTCATAAGTTGGTACTATGAAATTCCAGAAAAAATGGGAATAACAAAGTATACTTTGGTTCTGTGTCCTCTTATTCTTGCTGCAAACAGACCATCGGATCAATAAGGAACCAGATTAATGATGTTTAAACTTGTGCATAGGTATTAAAAACGATTAAGATGTTTATTTCATAGGCGATTCCAAACAAATGGCACCGCACCAGACATTGGAAATGTTTGCATCGAAAGCCAGCTGTATAATTAGCCTCTGCCTTCATTTGCCCAGCAGTTTAGGGGAAAACCAGCATTTTAGATCCCATACAACTAAAAGGAATTCCCAAGGAGATTACAAGATTTTGATCTTATTGTTTAATTCCTGTGGCTGAGAATGAAAAGGAGCATTCCCTCAATCTTTGGGTAAAGGGAAACCCAAAGGCATTTTGAAGATTATTCACACCACTCAACTTAAAAGACTAAAAGATGGGTTAAGTGAGCTGACAGCCT